GTTGGACGTGGGTGCAGACGTTGGGTGGGACCACGTTGTATGCTGATTCTGCGCTAAAATCATGCGATTGCATGCGTAATGGGGTCGAAAAAATAATTACCGCCTTTTCTCGCGAAACAAAAAAAAAATGCACTATGAATTAAAAAATTGTGGGTATACCGTTTCGTCTCCTATCTGCAGCCAACACTGATTTATTCATAATTTTACATTCACGTGTGTACCTCGTATCACACGCATGGATAAGTGTTTATGCACGCGTACACGTACGTGTGTATCTTCGACAGGAACAAACATATTATTACGATTACTGTTACGCGAGAGATGTCATTCGATAAGGAGATATGAATGAAATTCCGTATACGCTTTGTTTATTAAACTTGCGAACGGATATTTAGCGACCGAGCAATGATTTACGAGCACCCGAACAACGGTACAAGTATACCTTTGATGATACATGTACATCTTCCCAATATTTTTGTCCTTTTTACACGTTTGTGTATTTACTAGCTATACGAACACGAAAACGAAGGATACGTATCGACATTCGCAGTGTGAAACTTTTTTTTTATGGAATTACCCACGTCTCAGCCGTATATGTATTACTTTTATTTTGCGCCACAGATTTTTCTATTTGTACTTTTACTTGAGCGTGTATTTTAACGGATTATTAGTCAATTAAAAGCATTTTTTAAGAAATACTTTGCAATTACTTTTGTCCATCAAAGTATGTATCATCTCATTCAATTTTACTTGCAACGAAAATAATTGAAAAAAAAAAAAATCACACATAATAACTCACAACACCCCAAGTTCATTAAATCGGTAATGAAGATTGTAAATGTGCAATCACCCGATATTGAATGAAATTCTTTTCGGCTGATAAAAAAAAAGCGTATTATCTTTATCGTGAATCGCCGCGTGTGTTTTCATCGAAAATAACTTTGACGGAGATGATAAAATTCATACCAACAAAAGAGGAAGAGTGTCGCAACAGGATACGTATAACTATTCATACGATTCGTCGATTAAAAGAAGAAAAAAAATGTAGGTATCGAGGCAAGACAATCGTAACTTTTTTCAGCCGCACAAAAGCTGCCTACTTCCATCAAAAGAAGTATAGGTATGTGCATACCCTTGTATATATTATATGATGATTGAAGCATCATTATCGAATATTCGGACGAACTTTCAAGTCTGTATCAGATTCGTAAAAGTCATGCACTCGTAGCCAGCAGCAGCGCAGCTCTGCGATGCAAAAAGAAGGAAAGAGAGAGAGAGAGAGAGAGAGAGAAACGGGACCTCGTCGACAACGAGAGCCATATAATCGCGAGCCGAAAGGATATCCGGCCGCGCTGTACCTACTTACTTACATACATATACGTTATACACTGCACATATTATACGCTCACGCTTGTACACGTATACGAGACGGAAACGCTTCCCCGGCGTGTCTGATGTACAGCGAAGCTAGAGGGCTTTTATAAATATATAATATATATATATTATATCAGCATACGGTGCGGGCGAATCTTTTGCAGCCAACCATTTCTATATCATATTATACATACATCACTACGACGAACGCATTTCCCGTTGGCCTAAATGTTATCTCCGTTCCTATGTACGAGAATGCCTATCAAAGTGTAGGTGTATGCCGTTTAGCCATAGCGTGCAGTGGTGAAGGCGAAATTAAAGCTTTTCAATCTGGGCCACGGGATTGGCGTGCCTGCCCACGCTTCATATACTTACGCGCAAAATTCATACATTTTCATAAGAGAGTTTCAAATACGGGCAATACGCTGGATAAATCACGCGTAGGGAATTTGGACGATAAAATGCCCATTCTTTTGCCATTGGGTATTTTTATCACTGAAGCTTAATCACTTTTTTATCATATGGTACTTACAACTTTCGACTACTTGTAAAATTGCATCGCAATGTTTTATTTGAAGAGTCGCGACTGTACATTTGAAAAATAGTATTAAGTACACGTATCTTTAAAGTAATTGAGCGCCGACAAAGAGTCTTAAAGTTATATGTATACCTACGTATGAATCCCCATCAAACGCAGTCGGAGAAATCCACGTGCAATGACACCACACGTACCGAGCAACGCATCTAATGATTATTCGCGAAAAAAGCACGTACCCCCACGGCCATCATATATTCAACTCCTTTATCAATCTCATCGTTTTCGAGGTTTGACACTTCTTTTTCCCCCCTGCGGTTAATCTCGTGGACTATTACCTTGTACTCTGGCAATGATTATTTCTTTTGATTGTTAACGCCGTACACGTCATATTTATAAGTATGATAGTAAATCGGTATGTAAGTAACGCGGCAGTGACACCGTGTGTATAACTAATGCAGTATGTGTAAACGGCTCCTCCAGCCAAGCCAGCACGGATTAATTAACTCGGCCGGGTATTAATTCTGCACGTTCATTGGAATTACCAGCCCGGCCGCCACCCACGTCTGGCTCTTCTTTATTTTTCCGCCGCGCGATTCTCTCTGTTCTCGTTCTCAGAAAACGCATGGAGAGAGACACCACTGGCGCGATTCGTTATACCATACTCTCGTGTGTGTGCGTGTGTATGGTGCACGTCCGACACCGGAAGCGAGATATCTGAATATTTTGACCTACGAGGGTTATTGAAGCCGCCACACCGATTACGTGACGACAAAAAGTGCAATAAGCATTCACAATTATCAAATACTCTCGGCGTATCTAGGATTTTTCGCTTTATCGGTGCACGTGAATATACGCAGTGTGTGTGTGCAATATCCACAGCAGTGGTGGAGCATCGCTTTGAAAGCGAAAGCCTCACTTTTGCTCCGATCTCGCGCACACGAGCCGCCTCTCTTCCGCTGGATTGATACAGTCGGCGTTAGTCGGTATTAAAACGAGGGACGCGAGATAAGGGTAACCCGAGTTGGTCGCCGAGCGCGGCAATGATTAGAAAGGAAAAAAAAAAAAAGAAAAACAACGCTTCCTGTTTCCGCTCGAGCGAGATTGGCGCGCCCACACGCAGACGTTAGAGATCGCTCGCTTGTGGATGTATCATTGTTATTATTATTATTATTATTATTGTACTTACGGAGTTTTATCTTGGCGCTTTTGTTCGGGAAAACAATGTTTCGGGGGAGGGAAGGCTATAGGTGACTTGTGTGGTCGATTACATGCTGCGGTTGGTGGTGCAGATTAAACAATTACGATGTACGTTTTCCTACGAATAATTAAGTAGTTGATGAGCAAACGTGAGGGACAAAAGTTTTACTGTCGTTTTCAAGCACATTGTGTACTGATTGTAAGTACCTGTACCCCATGTAGAGACTTCTCTTGGATGTTGGAGTTATCATTCAATTTCTACTCGACTTGTCAGTCAACCTGTCTATCCGAGACAATCCTAAAAGTATACTCAACGTTACGTTGGATCCGACATGGGTGTAAAATTATACTTCTGCAATAAAGGCTTGGGATGAGAAGTAATAGTTTTCGTCACAGAAGCGCCATAATCGGCGAAGCTATGTTACGACTCGAGGGACCTGCAAAGCAAGGCCCCAGGGACCGTAGGGTTGTCCCGGTTGGATGACGCTTGTGTGGCGAAGACTATTTTTTTTTTTTACACAACTCATAATTTCAAAATGTAAGTATAGGGATATATAAAGCCCCTTTGAATGAAATGAACAAAAACTGTAGTCTCAAAGTTGGTAAAATTAAAAAAAAAAATTATTTTCTTCTATAAAATTTTCATGGATTTTATCACACTTGATTTTTTGTCCAAAATTCGGTTTACTCCAAACATAGACACTTTAGACGTTTGGTAGCATGTTGGATGGTACACAAGTGAAGCATTTATACCTGAAAAACTACAAGGAGATAATAAAATCGAGGTACTACAATTTTTTTTTTTTTTCATCAATAAACAATATATTTATTAATAGTTTTTCAAAACTATTAAGCCACATACGTAAAAAGTAATGTCCAAAACGTGTTTCGAGGTATACTTGGCAAAAAAAAAAAAAAAAAAAAAAAAATGAAGAAACGCACGTTAGTACGTTGAACGCGCTCGTATTATCATTATATTATTATTTATATCCACGCACACTTATCCAAGCCGATGATCTGCTGATCATGTTGTAACGTCTTTATCAGTCCTGTACGATTTTATAATTTTCTTAAATAATATACTGAATACATAACTTGCTCAACGCCACTCTCGGAGCCACAAGCATTAAGGACGACGTTTTAAAATTCGAGCGAGCTTAGTTTTTTTGTAAATCTATACATGTGTATCAAACGCCTGCATTTCGTTTTTTTTCTTTTTTTTTCTTTTTTTTGTACGCAAAAAAACTCGCCTTTTGGGACATCAATGCCTTTTTTGTCGCTCTTTCGTCTGCGTGTCTTTATTATTATTTTTATTTCAACACTTAAAATCACAAGGCCTATAGTCGACATTGCGTTTGTAATTAGCTATCTTTTATCTTTTACTAGTTTTGTTGCGTAGCCAATAGCACTTTAATATTAGGCGAGATAAATTGATGACCATACAAAATTTCGAAGCTGATTCATCACAATGTGTAACTGGTTTCAAATATTTAAAGTTATCCAGCAAAACAAAAGGAAAGTTTTTTAATAAAAATCGACGTATGAATATTTCATCTGGTTTTTATAAAAGGACATGAAACGTGAGCAAACGATTACTGGTAAGTAAGTATATTGCTTATCGTGGTCGAGTAAGATTAAATTTTGCAAAGAGGTACGAGTAAACAATAAATAATTGATGGTTTTTTTAAATTGTATTCTTTATATTTATTTGAAAGACTCGTATGGTAATAAGACTTTTCTTTTTTTTTTTTTTCATCAATGTACGTCTCAATATTTTTACAATTTTCACAAAGATTCCTTGCACGATAAAAATGTTCATTTTTTTTTGTCGTAATCCAACCTCGCTATAAAATTTTATAATCGATTCGTTTACCACATAAAAAATATATGATTTAAAAATTAACATTATTCATAAGAATTAAAACATTATAAAGGAATATAAAAAAAAAAAAAAAATTGTAACAGAATAACCGACAAATATACCTTACTGTGGTTCTTATTTCGTTTTTCTTCAAGTTTAGCGATCTTTAGTAGGTGTATGCAAACATACGATGTTTGATTTGCCAAAAATTTCATTAATTTTCAAACTTGTTTCACCCACACTCTTATACGCGTGTACGGCAAGGGTTCGAAAAGCGTTGAATTATCGTTACATGAAACAATATTATATTGTATGCATTTATTATCGAATTACACAAGAAAACGGGTTTAATGTCCTCGTGGTAGCGATTGCTGTTGATGCGTGATGGATCGTTAGAATGAGATGCGGTGCGCGGAAAAGGAAGATTTTGACTCACGGGAGAACTTAGAGGATTTGGAAGAGCTTTTTGAGTTCCACCATCAGCTGCCAGTCCGCCTTGATTAGGTCGTCTCTGAAGTACTCCTTGCACGCGTCTATGCTCGCTCGACTTATCTGTAACAATTCAAGGGATCAACTTTTTTTTTCTCCTATTGGATTTCAAAATGATACAATACAAGAAAGTAAATAAAATTTTTCAGCAAGTATTTAATTTCATCAATTGTTATCATTCTTTACTATAATTGATATTCCATCACAAACATTTATAGTTAGTGACATGCTTTTTTGGCATTATTACATTTTTAGGTGTCTGGTGCGTCTAACCATTTTTTTTTTTAAACCATTGATATGCTTGCCCTGATTGGACGCACACAGATGCGAATAAGTCTTAGTCTATTCTTCCGAGGGCGCAGTGAACCTCCAAAAGTAAAAAAAAAAAAGCCTTATAGAAAAATGAATTGTAAGCTGAACATTTACCCTATAGTCTCCTTCAATACCTTTTTTCACGGAGATTAAATACTTTTAATTTTTGTTTTCTTTCAGCAAATGAACACCGTTTTCGTTAAAACTAACGTTTTTATTTCCTTGATCGACCGAAGCGATCCCAAGCTGTACGCACGGCCGATAAAATAATACACACGCGCGTCCAGATAGCACGAGACCGCGCCTCGAAACTTCGCCCACGCGCCTCGTGTCCCGCCCGTCCCACCGAAGGCTACATATACACAGAGCACCCCCGCAGTATCGGAAGTTGAGCAGCCTGTGCGGCCCACACTCACGAATTCCTTGGCGGAGCGCTCGCGCGCGCGGTCTTATATGGACCGTATTAGATTTAGTCGGGAGACGAAGGCCCATTGTAATGCATGTGCACGTGTGCATGTGGTACTGCATATGGCTGTGCAAGGAGTGAAAAAGAAAAAATTTTATCGTGAAACCACCCAACGGAGAACATTTTTAGATCATCCGAGCATCGACAAGCGGATTAGTTGCACACGCCTACAAGTTTATAGGCGTATACATGCGGTCGTTGAACGTTTGCCCTTCACACATAAAAAAAAAAAAGAGATATCTGTAATATCCCTTAAACTTTGATTGATTTCGTTGCCACGAAAATTCAATTTCCAGCTAAATAATTGGTAATTGCTCACTCTCTTTATCTTTCTCTATAGGAAATTTCAATTACTTTGTGGGTATTGGTATGATTTGCGGGGGTGTAGGAGAAAAAAAGGAGTATAAATGGCACTCCAAAAATAATTGCAGCCCACTCGCACAAATTGATGGCTGCTCGGCAGCGGTGTATCACTATAGGCTACAATTATTGGCCGGGAAAGCTTTTTGCCGTCCTTACGATATCGCTAAAGTCTTATTCTATATACGTCATCGATTGGCTCTCGTTCGCCCACGCGCTGGTATACACCCTACAGTCGTTTAATGTGGAACAGGCATGCAACACATAAATGTACGAATAACAAGTGTACACAATGGTACAACGATATGTGACAATTTTTTTTTTTTTTTTTTTCAATTCCCAAAAAAAAAACTCCGTGTTTTCTTTTGCCCAAGCTGAACCACATATATGCATCTATAATCTACACTTTGGACAATGTATCTTTGTAAAAAGCTCGCCTCCCTTAATCCGGATCCAACAAATTTATACGTAAGGACGATCAGACAAGCTTCCCCTCCCTCTCGTAACATATCAGCGTCGTCGTTTTCGTGGCTCACGCACATATATGTATAGGTACACACATCACAAACGAGCCCAACGGAAGCACCCTATACTCGCTCCATTCATAAATCGGCCGTGCACAATGGCACAGATTGTGCTCAAGCGCCCGACTATGTGTGTGCGTGTGTGCAAGTACACGTAAAATACACCATGTGCTCTTCTTCCCTTTCCTATTTTTTTTTCACGCGTGTACCCATATAGGTGTATGTTATATATTGTACGCGTGTGTACGCACATACACACCTATTATAGATACACGTGCATATATATACACTCATGCACGAACGAACTGATGGATGTACTTATAAGTCCACCGGATGCGTTCGACTCGATCTCACGCGACGCGCAGATTTTACCGTTGGATAAACGAATCGCGCTTACAAGAGTACAAGACGGTACGTATATTGTATACTCTTTTCCTCCCTCCCGACTACACGTATACATACAAAGTATAAGGCTTCGTTTTTCACGCGAGGAAACAGTTTTTACGCTCAATTGGGATTATCGAAGTGTATATTATATGTACGTTTTATTTATCGTTTTTCATTTATCATCCTTGCTTTCTCTTTTCCACGTCCAAGGAGCTTTCAACGAGTGATTTTTCGATCCATTCGCGATAAGTAGATAGATACACATTCATATATATATATATATATATGTACACGCAAAGCCGATTATTTCACAGGTATTTTCGGTAAAGATAACACAACGCAAGCAAGGAGATGATCCCCTGTTGTTCAGCCGGAAGTAAAACACCTGCATTTTATGGTTATATATTTACAGGTCCATCCGTGCATATATATATATATATATATATATATGTATATGTATGTATATATGCCTATACGAGAGTATAAAATATATGGATTTTTTCCCACAAGCTGGAAAAACCTATGAGCACACCTTAGGGACACACGGGGGGAAAGCTCTCTTGCAACGTCACAGTGATGGCGGTGAACCCGACGCAAGTACATAACATCATGTGTATACACACTCGCTCCATATCCATATTACGTGAAAATCGCTTCTCCCCGATCCTATGCCTGTATACAGAAATACAGCTCGCCTTGCCGAACCTAGATAATATATATATATATATGAGTACACGTATACCTACGTGATTTTACGCCTATAGTTCTCGTTTCACCTGCTCATGCTGCCAAAGCAACTCTCTCTCTTTCAGCATAAGCAGGTAAACCTGCGCGTTTTCGTTTCGGATAATGCCCCAGAGAAGGCTCTTTCCCTTGCCTCTCACATTCATTTCCGCCTTTTCACGTGTATACTATATTATGTATATAGGTTTTCAATCTTACATCCGCGCAGATGTACACGCGTAGGTTCATGTGCTTGTGAGAACGAGGGAGGAGGGACGCGAAGAAAAATCTCACAAAGGTATTGCGTATAGGCCTCAACACCCGGGACGAAAATCCGGTTACGCGCGTGTCTCGACCGAGTGATAAAAATCGTATATGCGTCGGTGGTCGGGGTATAAGAGGGAAATGCCGTGTGTAAGTGTATTGGCGTGCATGGGTTCTTTGGCCTATTGGAAATTATAGGAAGGAGAGCTATATGTTGGTGCAACCCTTCACGGATCAAAAAGGGAGGCTATTTCATCTCACAGTATATTACAATATATTATTATACAGCCCATGGAAATTAAATGCTTGAATTTTCCGCGTATGGATCAGCTCAGTGCATATATTATATATGATGCCCATGTATAGTTCGCGCTTATATTATCAGTGGATTATCTGTACAGTTTATTGTAAGAAAAGTAGTGCTTGTCTGATGAGCCATCGGCGTTTATGTATATGTACATACACGACGGGGAAAGATAACAGAGGGATTATTTTCCTCGAAGTTACTAACATAAAAAAAAAAAAAAAAAAGAAAGAAAAAACGATTTCTCAGGCATGCCAGGGTAGATGAGGACACATTACAAACACCACTGCACCATATGCGACGCGAGACCGCGAAAATCTTTGAGATATTTATATACCCCCGAGGGTTACGCCGCACCTATGTAATTATATATATATACATTTGGACCTCAAAAAAAAAAAAAATAATAATAAAAAAGACATTCCGCATTTACAGAGCGCCCGTCCCGTATCTTTCCTGTACCTCCGAGACTTCCGAACAAAAGAGCACCCCGCAAGACGTGCATGACAATGGGAACAGACGCGCGGCAGCAGTGGCAGAAGCCAGTGCAGAGCGTATTATGGTAGCCGTCGTCTTTCTGGCGCGCGCGCGAACCGTATTACACACGCGGCACGTATATATTTATACATCCACCATCCACGCAACAGCTGAAGTGAAAAAACAGAGGTGGGCCCGTGTATGTATGTATATGTATATATGTGTGGATCGGGGCTGGGGGAGGAAGGGCACACGCGCGTGTGGACATATGGGCACACATGCATCGGGCGCGTGGAAAGCCATAATATATACATGTAGGTATGCTTGCATTGATGACCGTGTGTGTGTGTTAACAGACAGACACATATATATATATATATTGTTTCACGTACCCTAGTTATGTGATATATATATATGGTGCGCACAAAAGAAAAGGAACCGTCGACGACAGAAGAGAAGATAGGATGTATAGGTGGGACGATGGGTATATGTGTATACGACGATGAAGAAGGAAAAGAGAAGCAGTAGGGAGCGGAGGCAGCAGTAGCACGGGATAACCGTGGGAACAACGCGCTCGGAGCTTCCGGCAAGTGGAGTGCGACCGACTCTTCGTGCCGATGCTTCTGTGCCTCTATGATGGCCTTTACCGCTTGTTATATATATACATATGCTGATGCTGTTGTTGGGCCTTCGGGCCCCGGGCGTACGACACTCGCGCGCCTGCGGTGTTTCATGTGTAGATATATATGTGTTTATGTGTGTGGGTGGGTGTGACGTGCTCTTTTTGTGCAAACCGAGCCCTATATGTGTGAGCAAAGGTGCTTGCTATATATATACGTGTGATCTTTGGAAACAAAGTACCTGTCCTATATATATATATATATATATATAGCTGCTTCCGTCGTTTGTATACCTTATACAATATAAACTTTTCTCAGGGCATGAGCTTGATGTATACGTATCTATATGTGTACGATGGTAAAGGGAACCGATGCGGAATTGTACCCTTGCATTGTATACGCGCCTATAAATATGCCAGTTTTTCGTGCTCTGCTGATACATCTGCAACCCCTACCGCTGTATTTACAGTGTGGCGCTATCGATCGTTTTTGCTGAATAATCTCCGGGCTGTTTGGATAATTAGGGGTACAGTTGAGCTGACTATGGTTAATATCCACCGATAAAATATTAAAAAAAAAAAAAAAAACGCGTAATGGGTACGCCTTAAGCCTTTTTCTTGCGTTAT